GTACAAGGGGCTGGGGATCGAGCCGGCGCTGTCTACAGCATTCCACCTTCAGACGGACGGCCAGACTGAGCGCTGGAATCAGGAGATCGAACAGTACCTGCATGCCTTCACAAGCCACAGGCAGGATGATTGGGCAAAGCAGTTGCCGCTCGCGGAGTTCGCACTGAACAACCGAGTTCACTCCGCGACTGGGCACTCCCCATTCTTCCTGCATCAAGGGTACAATCCTGAAATCCAAGTGCGGATCAATCCGATGTCGGCGATGCCTGCGGCCGCTAATCGTCTCAAGATCCTGAAGGAGATTCGCGATGACACACGCTCTGCGCTCGAGCTGTCAGCCGAGCGCATGAAGGTGTACTACGATAAGCACGTGCAGGAGGCACCGGTCTTTGCGCCGGGGGACAAGGTCTGGCTTGATGCCCGGAACCTTAAGCTAAAACAGCTGAGCAAGAAGCTTAGTCCCAAGCGCCTTGGACCCTATGCCGTGCGGCGAAAGCTCGGAGACCTGGATTATGAATTAATCCTGCCGAAATCGGTGCCGGTACACCCGGTGTTTCATGTCTCCTTGCTTAGCAAGTACACGCGTAGCGATATCCCAGGCCGGGAGCCGGAGGAGCCGCCTGCAATCGAGGTTGAGGGCGACGAGGAGTACAAGGTTGAGCGGATCAAGGATTCGAGGATCTTCCGGCGTCAGCTGCAGTACCTCGTCAAGTGGAAGGGTTATGACAATTCGCATACGTCATGGGAACCGGCGCGCAATGTTGCCAATGCGCCGGCCCTCATAGCCGACTTCCACCGGAAGAACCCGAACGCCCCTCGCCGCCTCAATGCTGCTACTTTTGGTGGTCTCAACTTTCAGCCAATGCCTTCGCCGCTGACTGAAGCACGTTGCCGCTCCGGGTGGGAGATGGGCAAGGGCGCCTCGCATGAGGTCATGCGCCGTTGAGGGGGGGGTAATGTCACGAGTTGGTACGGCGCCTAGCCGTTTTTTAATTTTTCCTTTTCGCGGGCTCGAACCCGCGACCTCTGTACTACCTGCCTGATATGGACGCATCGTTATCTACTGTACGATTAGATTAGATAGGACGGCAGTGCACGGCACAGCTCGGGCTCCGCTGACACAGCCGCTCTGACTCACCGGCCCCCGGGGCCGCGTCAGCATGCTGCGCACAGACCAGCTGCGCACGGACCAACGCGCACAGCCTGCCCTAATCTCCCCATGTATATAAGCCGGCCTCTGCTGCCCTAGGGACCTCAGTTTCGACCTCTTGTCCCTAGGTCAGTAAGCCCTCATTTGTATTCTTTCTTACCCTACTAACTAATATACTTTCTTGTCCCTAGCCTTAGGTTTGAGCCTAGCTCACCATCGCTTCGGTAAGAACCAAGTCGAACACCCCCAGCGCCTTGTTTGGTTTTCCTCTGTCGCTTGACCCTAAGTCGCGACATTAGGTCGAAACTCCTCACCGCTGCCGGCGTTCACCGGAACACACTCACTTTCTCCTTTCCTATAGGTCGGGTGGTGCGCACCCTTACTATACTTTACTATACTTAGATAGCCTACGATACATCGCCACCACTTAAGGGACGAACTCTTCAGTATCTGCACTTCAGTGGGCGGTACTTGTCCTCACGGACGCGTGGCTTAGGTTCCTGCTGCATACTAGCCAAAAGCAGTACTGGGCCCCACGTGAACTGCGAACCTTAGTGTCTTCTCGGGCGCCGTAGGTGTAAGCTAGTATAGCACGGCCTTTCGTAATACGCGCACCTCCCCTTCCTCCCCCCCATCACCGTGGCTGACGAATTCTTCGACTGCTCTCGAATTGAGCACGCCTTCGACACCCAGGAGCAAGTCGACGTCTCCCACGACAACCCCGAAAGCAACGGGAATCAAGCTCCCTTCCTCATCTGTGATCGACAACCGTGCCAGCCCTTCGATACGCTGGCACCTCGAGATCCACATCTCGCCACGTCACTCCCGTCCCTTCCCGACCTGCCTCCTCTGGCACCCGCATCCCCCAACCTGTTGCCCGTACAGGTCAAGAGCGAGGAGATCCCGATCTCCCTTGAAGAACTGAGGCAGTTGCACAGCCTCCAGCGACCCCTTAAGCGATCCCCCAGCCCTCCCTGGGGCTGCGGTTGGAAAGGCCTCCCAAGACCAAGCCCAGCGACACTCCACCGCATTCTTGGGCCAGCTCGTCGTCAGTGGTCACCGCCTCGCCTTCAGTCCCTATCTTATGTAACCCCGCCCCCGGACTTCCTCCATCGCCTTCACCGCCGTCGCCGCCACGAGGCCGCACAAGCACTCGTTCCTCGCGAAGTTCGCCCGGTGGACAGTCACAACAGCCGTCTTCGCCCGCGGGCAGTCCTCTGTCCCCCTCGTCGCCGGTAATGTCCTCGCCAGCGTCCCCCCCTGATAAGGACACCCTAAAACTCCTCCTCCCCCTCCAATACGATGGCAAAACCGTCATTGAGTGCGACAGGTTTCTGTCGCAACTTCGCATCTATTGGCTGGTTAACACGTCGTTAACCACCATCGAACTTAAAGTGCAGGTTGCGCTAAGCCTGCTTGACAGTGACGCCCGCACCTGGGCCACTCCATACTTCGCCCAGCTCGTATCGGTGCAACTCGGTGTCCAGGGAGTGACGACCCCTTTCGCAAATGAGGCAGCCTTTACCATGGCTTTCAGAGCCCGCTTCGGCAACCTCAATGATGAGGCAGTGGCCCAGGTAGAACTGGCCAAACTCTGCGCGGACAAGTCAGTCCGCGAAAAACGCACTGCTGCGGAGTTCTCCGCGCTGTTCAAAGGTCCGGCGGACCGCTCCGGGTACGGCGACCTGGAGCTACGCGACAAGTACTTGAGCGGCATCCCCTCCCGCGTCTACCGCAAATCGAGCTCGAAACGTTCACTACGTGGAAAGACGCTGACAAGCACGCCATGGAGGTCGAGCAGATCCTCGACATCAGCCGGGCCCGTCAGCCCGAACTGAACAACTTCTTCTCGGCCCGAGGTCAGGGGTGCGGAGGGGCACGTGGTGGTGCACCCACGTCACACGCAGCTTCGGCCAGCATCAATGCGGCCGTCGGAAAAGGAAACTTCCCCGGCACATGCTTCGGCTGTGGGAAGCAAGGGTACCGATGCTTCGAGTGCCCCAACTGTAAGGACAAGCCTTACACAAAACACACTGACGCGCAGGCTACGGTTGCCTCGGGATCCACCCAGGCCGCGACAAGCGCCCCCGTCACGACATCACCCTCGGCAAGTATAAGTGCCGCTTTAGCGAAATCCGAGCAATTGGAGCTGGCGGACTTAATGGCACAGGTGAAGTCGATGCGTGAGGAGCTCGAGCACTATCGGGCAATGAAGGAGGAGGGTTTTTGATCCGGTCCGCGCTTCGTGCCGCACGCGTCGGGCCGCGAGTATCATGTAACAAGTACGATGTATTGTCTTCTGCAATGGTGTACGAGTTGGACCAGGGGTCCCAGCACTTTCACATTCCAGTAAGACTTCAAGGGAAAAGACGGCACAAGGACGTAATCACCATGGTGGACAGCGGAGCCACCACAAAGTTCATCAACAAGCGATTCATTATCGAGAATAAGGTGCAAACGCGGAAGCTAAAAGAGCCGATTCCGCTCTACAATATCGACGGCACCCTAAACAAAGACGGAAGCATCTCGGAAGTAGCAGTGCTACAGATGCACATAGGAGAACACGTCGAGAAGATGGTGTTTACGGTCACGGACATTGGTCCGGAGGATGTGATCGTAGGGTTGGATTGGCTACGTGAGCACATCCCTGAAGTTGATTGGGAGAAAGGTTCCCTCAAATTGTCGTGATGCCCTGAAACGTGCAGTGCCAGGAAGACTGGCTGAATGGAGCAAGCAGCGACTGCACGTGATATGGGGGTCAGGCCCACGGCGCGCAGACGTTCGCCGAAATCCAAACGGTCAGTCATAGGCGCCTGCCGGAGCAAGGTACTCCCGGACTTCGAATCCGAAGAAGATCCGACGGAAGTAGAATGGGATGAGGCCGATTTGATCGAAGCCTGGGAGCAGGGTATCATGCTTCCCGGTGCTCCTCAGCTGTTTGTCGCAGCAGGGCATACGTACTCCCAGCTGTTCGCTGAGGAGGAGATCAAAAAGAAGGTCATCAAGACCGCCGAGGAGTCGGTACCTAAACAGTACCACGAGTTTCTGAAGGTCTTCTCAAAGGAAGCATCAGAACGGTTACCCGAAAGGAAGCCGTACAATCACGTGATCAAACTCGTGCCCGGCTATTCGACATTCCATTCGAAGGTGTACCCCCTGTCGAACAACGAGCAAGAGGAGCTTGACAAGTTCCTCAAGGAGCAACTAGCGAAGGGCTACATACGGGAGTCGAAATCGCCCATTTCGTCCCCCTTCTTCTTCATCAAAAAGAAGGAAGGGATGCTTCGACCCGTGCAGGACTACCGCCGATTGAACGCGATCACAGTCAAAAATCGCTACCCTTTGCCGCTGATCGCCGAGATGGTAGATAAGCTCCGCAGTGCCATGCTCTTTACAAAGTTCGACGTCCGATGGGGATACAACAACATTCGGATCAAAGCCGGTGATGAATGGAAGGCGGCCTTTGTGACTAACCGGGGACTGTACGAACCCCTGGTAATGTTCTTTGGCCTCACTAATTCCCCCGTGACCTTCCAGGCGATGATGAACGAAATCTTCCACGATCTCATCGTCGGTGGCAAGATCCTTGTGTACTTGGATGACATACTCATCTTCTCCACCAACAAGGAGGAACATGAGAAGTTCACACACGAGGTTCTGCGTCGTCTCCAGGACAACGATCTGTTCCTAAAGCCTGAGAAGTGCGAATGGGACGTTCCCAAGGTCGACTACGTCGGCTATGTGTTCGGTGGCGATGAGGTAGCAATGGATCCCGCGAAGCTAAAAGGAATCAATGAGTGGCCAGTATCCCGGAACAAAAAGGATGTTCAGAAGTTCCAGGGGTTTTCCAACTTCTACCGCCGCTTCATCAAAGACTTCGCTAAGATCTCGCAGCCACTCGACCGACTCACAGGGAACGACCCATGGCATTGGGGCGAGGAAGAACAACATGCCTTCGATGAGCTCAAGCGCCTCTTTGCTACCACATTGGTCTTAGCACTGTATGACCCAAATCGAGAGACGTGCATTGAGGTTGACGCCTCAGGCTACACCACTGGCGGCGTGTTAATGCAGAAGCAGGACGACAGCAAATGGCACCCTATTGCCTTCAGATCTCACGCTATGGACCCTGCCCAGCGTAACTACAAGATCTACGATAAGGAAATGCTCGCGATCATTGAGGCCCTAGATGATTGGCGCCACTATCTCGAGGGGTTACCCAATCAGTTTGAGATCATAACCGATCATAAGAACCTCGAGTACTGGCGTACATCCCAGCATCTCACGCGTTGTCAAGCGCGATGGTCGCTGTTCCTGGCTCGCTTCGACTTCCGCCGATACGACCTACGAAACCCTAACCCCTAACCTGGGTGCGACCTAAAGGGACTAGAGAGCCGGATTATAGTCTTAGTGAGAGGGGAGTTAGCAGCAAGGTGTCCCGTGGTTCGGGTGAACATGAGAAATGCCTTCGGAAAAAGGCTACGAACAATGGGGAAGCTACGAGGTGGCTTCGACACGTCGTCGAAGCTACTCGGAGGCTGTGGGTGGTTAGCGGAGATGATCGAAGCTCGGCAGAGCTCTTCGATGTATCGTAGAGGGAAGAGACACAACTCGATAGGGGGGACTTAACTAGGACGCGGTTCGCAGTTTCTTCGACAATCGTCGAAGTCGAAGGGTTCGTCGAGACTGTATCGACGAGTAAATGCAGTGGCCGAGGTTTCGAAGTTACGCAGCGAGGGACGAAGTGACGCAGTTGAGGGCTCAGACGCGGGGCGAACTCGACTTATGAGCTCTGAACTCGAGGGGGGAAAAGGATCTTGTATTTTTAGAGAGAAGTACGACAGATTTTATACTACACAGGACGCTACGACTATTGAAAGTGGCACACTGGTACAAGGGGCTTTGCATTGTTCCTCAAGAAGCTGCCTCACCGAGGGGCACATACCAAGTCCATTGGTAGAGTGACGTCATGCCGAACGCGGAGATAAAGAGCAACATATGGCTACTTCGGACCGGTAGCCATCGTCGAAGGGATGCCGCGAGGTTCGATACCTAATCGGGAAAGACCGGCTACGTCGGGGTGGCTTGGAGCGAAGCGCGTGCTTGGCCGAGCGGCGTCAAGTGGCCCTATTGTCCGCCGAATGCGGAAGATGTCCCGAGATCTACGCGCGAGGCATCGGGACGACCGTGCTGAGCTTCGAGTAAGCGTCGCGCACCGTCGAAGGTGTCGAAGAGCGTCGCGCACCGTCGAAGGTGTCGAAGAGCGTCGAAGGTGAAATCGAGGTGTTGGGAGACTGAGTCAAAGTACTGGGCGGGATGCGACTGCCGAAAAGAGGTGAATCGGGGCCCAGAGGGGCTTGGCACCTATCACCGCATCACGCACAAGGCCGGGACGTCCAATGGAAAGGCTGATGCCCTGTCACGCCGATCAGACCATCAGATCGGCGATGAGGACGATAACACCGATCAGGTGGTCCTCAAGCCAGAGCGCTTCCGCATCGCCTCTGCTAGGCGCGGTCATGCTTCTGTGACAGCTGATCTGTCACAACTTGGTACGGCGTCTAGCCGTTTTTTAATTTTTCCTTTTCACGGGCTCGAACCCGCGACCTCTGTACTACATACCCGATATGGACGCGTTGCTATCTACTGTACGATTAGATTAGATGGGGCGGCAGCGCACGGCACAGCTCGGGCTCCGCTGACACAGCTGCTCTGACTCACCGGCCCCCGGGGCCACGTCGGCATGTTGCGCATGGACCAGCTGCGCACAGACCAACGCGCACAGCCTACCCTTATCTCCCCATGTATATAAGCCGGCCTCTGCTGCCCTAGGGACCTCAGTTTCGACCTCTTGTCCCTAGGTCAGTAAGCTCCCATTTGTATCCCTTACTTACCTTCACTAACTAATAACATTTCTTGTCCCTAGCCTTAGGTTTGAGCCTCGCTCACCATCGCTTCGGTGAGAATCAGTCGAACACCCCTCGCTTCAAGATATTTCCCTGTCGCTTGACCTCAAGTCGCGACATTAGGTCGAAACTCTCCCAAGCGACCGGTGTTCTCTCGGAACCCACATACTCACACTTTCCTTTCCCATAGGTCGGGTGGTGCGCACCCTTACGATACCATACGATACGTAGATAGCCTACATTACATCGCCAACACTCAGGGAACGAACCTTTCAGCACCTGCACTTCAGTGGGCGGTGCTTGTCCTTAACCGGACGCGTGGACTAGGTTTCTGCTGCATACTAGCCAAAAGCAGTACTGGGCCCCACGTGAATCGCGAACCCTAGTGTCATCTCGGGCGCCGTAGGTGTAAGCTAGTCTACCACGGCCTTTCGTAGTACGCGCACCTTCCCGTCCTCCCCCCATCCATCGTGGCTGCCTGCCAAGGCCAGATCCACGCATTCGACTCCCAGGACCTCATCGACGTCTATATCCCAGACGGCCCTGAGACTGTCCTCTACCATTGCGAGCAGCAGCCGTGCCCAAATCAGACACCCCGATCGATCGAGGAAGATTACCCTCGTTACAAGGCGATCCGACGAGCACAACACCCGCTCGGGCCCCGAAGCACCCTCGCGTCCTGATCTGCCTCGCGGCATTCTCGCCCTGTCTCCCCTAGCTCCCGCCTCCCTCAAACTGTCGTCGCCGATCCAGGTCAAGCGCGAGGAGATCTCCCTCCAGATCCTGCACCAGAGCCTGAACCTGAGGAGGGTGAAGAAGGAGTCTCGGAGTCCGAGTCCGAGGATTCTGTTGGGTCCGCCTCGCCGACAGTGCTCGCCCCCACGTCAGCAGTCCCTGACGTACGTGACCCCGCCGCCGAACTTCCTTCGGCAACTTCACCGCTGACTCCGCTGAGAGGCCGCTCGAGCACTCGCTCCTCTCGAAGTTCGACCAGCGGAAGGCCACCACAGCCGCCTCCGCCTCCGCAGCGTCCTCCGTCCCCCCCGACGCCGATAATGTCTTCCCCCTCGACCGCCCCCGACAAGGAGACCCTGAAGCTCCTTCTCCCCCTCCGCTATGACAGCAAAACCGTCATCGAATGCGACAGGTTCCTGTCGCAACTACGTATCTATTGGCTGATCAACACGTCGTTGACAACCATTGAGCTCAAGGTACAGGTTGCGCTGAGCCTGCTCGATGGCGATGCCTGCGCCTGGGCCACGCCTTATTTCGCCCAACTCGCGTCAGTGCAGATGGGTGTACAAGGGGTTACAACCCCCTTCAGGAACGAAGCGGCCTTCACCGCTGCCTTCAAGGCTCGCTTCGGTAATCTCGACGACGCGGCAGCAGCACAAGTAGAGCTGGCGAAGCTCTGTGCGGACAAGTCGGTCCGCGAGAAACGCACCGCTGCGGAGTTCCCCACGCTGTTCAAGGGTCCGGCGGATTGCTCTGGGTATGGGGACCTGGAGCTACGCGACAAGTACCTAAGTGGCATCCCCTCCCGCATCTATCGAAAGATCGAGCTCGAGACCTTCACCACGTGGCGAGCCGCTGAAAAGCGAGCCACTGAGGTCGAACAGATCCTCGACATCAGCTGGGCCCGTCGGCCCGAGTTGAACAACTTCTTCTCGGCCCGGGGTCGAGGTCACGGTGGGGCACGTGGTGGTGCACCTTCGTCGCACGCAGCTTTGGCCAGCATCAATGCGGCCGTCGGAAAAGGAGACTTCCCCGGCACATGCTTTGGCTGCGGGAAGCAAGGGTACCGTCGTTTTGAGTGCCCTGACTGTAAGGATAAACCTTACACAAAACGCGCCGACGCACGGGCTACGGTTGCCTCGGGTTCCACCCAGGCGGTGACAAGCGCCCCCGTCGCTTCATCCTCGGCGAGTACAAGCGCCGCTTCAGCGAAATCGGAAAGTTCCGAGCTGGCGGACTCAATAGCACAGATGAAGTCGATGCACGAAGAGCTCGAGCACTATCGGGCCATGAAAGAGGAGTCTTTTTAATCCAGTCCGCACTTTGTGCCGCACGCGTCGGACCGCGTAGTAACAATCTGTACAATGTATTGGCGACCGCAAATGTGTACGAGTTGGACCATGGGTCCCAGCATTTTCACATTCCAGTTCGACTCCAAGGGAAAAGACGGCACAAAGACATAATTGCTATGGTGGACAGCGGAGCCACCACAAAGTTTATCAACAAACGATTCATTGAAGAGAATAAGGTGCAAACGCGGAAATTGAAAGAACCGATTCCGCTATACAATATCGACGGCACCCTAAACAAAGACGGAAGCATCTTGGAAGTAGCAGTGCTACAGATGCACATAGGAGAACACGTCGAGAAGATGGTGTTTACAGTCACGGACATTGGTTCGGAGGATGTGATCGTAGGGTTGGATTGGCTGCGTGAGCACATCCCTGAAGTTGATTGGGAGAAAGGTTCCCTCAAATTGTTGTGATGCCCTGAAACGTGCAGTGCCAGGAAGACTGGCTGAATGGAGCAAGCAGCGACTGCGCGTGATACGGGGGTCAGGCCCATGGCGCGCAGGTGTCCGCCGAAGTCCAAACGGTCGGTCATAGGTGCCTGCCGGAGTAAGGTACTCCCGGACTTCGAACCCGAAGAAGATCCGGCAGAAGAAGAGTGGGATGAGGCCGATTTGATCGAAGCCTGGGAGCAAGGCATCACGCTTCCCGGTGCTCCTCAGCTATTCGTCGCAGCGGGGCATACGTACTCCCAGCTGTTTGCTGAGGAGGAGATCAGAAAGAAAGTCGTTAAGACCGCCGAGGAGTCGGTACCTAAACAGTACCACGAGTTCCTGAATGTCTTCTCCAAGGAAGCATCAGAACGGCTACCCGAAAGGAAGCCTTATGACCATGCGATCGAACTCATGCCTGGGTACTCAACGTTCCACTCTAAGGTATATTCCTTGTCAAACAACGAGCAAGAGGAACTAGATAAGTTCCTAAAGGAGCAACTAGCGAAGGGCTACATACGGGAGTCGAAGTCGCCCATTTCGTCCCCCTTTTTCTTCATCAAAAAGAAGGAAGGGATGCTTCAACCCGTGCAGGACTATCGCCGGCTGAACGCAATCACCGTCAAGAATCGCTATCCGCTGCCGCTGATCGCCGAGATGGTAGATAAACTGTGTGGCGCCACACTCTTCACCAAGTTCGATGTCAGATGGGGCTATAACAATGTCTGGATCAAAGCCGGTGATGAATGGAAAGCCGCCTTCGTAACCAACCGGGGGCTGTACGAACCCCTGGTGATGTTCTTTGGCCTCACCAATTCCCCTGCAACCTTCCAGGCCATGATGAATGAGATCTTCCATGATCTTATCGTCGGTGGAAAGATCCTTGTGTACCTGGATGATATACTCATCTTCTCTACCAGCAAGGAGGAGCACGAGAAGGTCACGCACGAGGTTCTTCGTCGCCTTCAGGACAATGATCTGTTCCTGAAGCCTGGGAAGTGCGAATGGGACGTTCCCAAGGTCGACTATGTCGGCTATGTGTTTGGTGGCGATGAGGTAGCGATGGATCCCGCAAAGTTGAAGGGAATCAATGAGTGGCCGGTACCCCGGAACAAAAAAGATGTTCAGAAGTTCCGGGGGTTCTCCAACTTCTACCGCCGCTTCATTAAGGACTTCGCTAAGATCTCGCAGCCACTCGACCGGCTCACAGGGAATGACCCATGGCATTGGGGCGAAGAGGAGCAGCACGCCTTCGATGAGCTCAAACGACTCTTCACGACGACTCCCGTTCTGGCGCTGTACGATCCTAACCAAGAGACGCGCATTGAGGTTGACGCCTCGGGCTACGCCACTGGCGGTGTGCTAATGCAGAAGCAGGACGACGGCAAATGGCATCCCATCGCCTTCAGATCTCACGCTATGGACCCTGCCCAGCGTAACTACGAGATCTACGATAAGGAGATGCTCGCGATCATTGAGGCACTAGACGATTGGCGCCACTATCTCGAGGGGTTACCCAATCAGTTCGAGATCGTGACCGATCATAAGAACCTCGAGTACTGGCGTACATCCCAGCATCTCACGCGCCGTCAAGCGCGATGGTCGCTGTTCCTGGCCCGCTTCGACTTCCGCATCACGCACAAGGCCGGGACGTCCAATGGAAAGGCTGATGCCCTGTCGCGTCGATCAGACCATCAGATCGGCGATGAGGATGATAACACCAATCAGGTGGTTCTCAAGCCGGAGCGCTTCCGCATCGCCTCCGCTAGACACGGTCTTGCCTCGGTGACGGCCGATCAGTCGCTTCTGAAGCGCATCAGGGAATGTTCGGAGAGGGATCGGGAGGTGGCCGAGGCCCTTGAAAAGGTACAGGACCTCGGGCCGCCCCGGCTGCGAAGGGGTTTTGAGGAGTGGAATGCCGAACAAGGGCTCCTGCTGTTCCGCGGGTGCGTGTACGTCCCAAAGAATGCGGAGCTTCGGCGGGATATAGTCAAGATCCACCACGACTCGCCGATCGCCGGTCATGGCGGTCGTGCCAAAACCCTTGAGCTCGTATCGCGGAACTACTGGTGGCCTGGGATGTCTAAATTTGTTAATGAGTACGTCAGCACCTGCGACGTGTGCAACCGTACCAAGACATTCCCAGCCAAACCCCAGGGCCCGCTGAAGCCGAATGAGATCCCCGAGCGCCCGTGGCAGATCATCACGACCGATATGATCGTTGGCTTGCCGAAGTCTGATGGATTCGACTCGATACTGGTCACCGCCGACCGCTTCACAAAGCAGGTCCACTTCT